AAAAAAAGTTTGAAATTAATTGAAAATCTCTAATAAATCACTTACGACTTATATCTAAAATACCATAAAACTTTAGTTAAAATGCTAAAAAGCTTTTATTGATTAAGATTAGTTGACAGTTAATCTATGGTTCATAAAAATCACGTGCGTAGTATTTGTAGCTAACTAATTTTTTAATTGTGCTTGGATATGGTTGGAACCAAAAAAAACACTAAAGCAGCCCATAGCTCATCCTACAGGTGTTCATATTATTCATATTATCGGCTTTCAAAATCTTGTCTTACGGGCGAGGTGATCGAAAAAGTGGTTTGATCCGATAGCTTTCCTTTTTGGGTCAAAACACGTCAGTGTGTGCCGATGTTCATCAAAATAGCTCAAAAATTGCGAGTTGTAAGCTGAACACAAGGAAATAAGACTAATAGGCAGACAGGCAGATAGACGGATAGACAAAGTGATTGTGAATCCATTGGTATAATAAAAGTTGTTTCTGTCTCAAGTTCTTCTTGTTGTACTGCAAGTACTGTAGAGCTTAAAAAGCATAAGAAGAAAATTTAATCAGATGCGTTTTACTTCGTTAATAGGGGCATCGCTCAATTGTTGCATGTTGGCGAAATACTTCATCACATATATGCCCATCCTTTGGGTCTATGGTTGAAGCAGTCACAATTGGGCAGAAATCCACCAAACTCAACGCCTTATTCTCAGTTACTTAATTCCGATGAAGTGGTTGTATACACCACACGGGTGCGGCGAACTTTTCAATCGGCTTTAGCTTTTCTGTACACTTTTTTGCCAACCGAGAAGTGGTTGGCCCTTAATGTTAAAGAATCCCATAGTATAGCATTTTGTTTTAGTGATTGCGCCTGCCCTCAAGCAGACGCTTTACGGAAATTGTTAATGAAAATGCAAAAACAACAATTACTTAAGCAAACTGCAATTACAAACGTTATGCAATGGATTGGCAGTAATCTTCTGCAATATACGCCTAATGGTATTACGGACGCAAATGAAGTGGTTGACGCTATACTAACTATTATGTGTCATGATTCTCCTTGGCCATGTCGTGATTTAAATATAACCGATAATAGTGCAGCAAGTACGAAAGCTAATGATTTTGAATTAAATGAGGTAATCAATATCGATCAAGACGATTTGGGCATTGCTTCTAACGCGTTGGATATAGAGATGAATAGAGATCACGATACTACGACAGCTTCGACCACTGGTTGCATTGAAAGTTCCCAAGTGGCGGCCTTAATGTCTTTTGTAACATTACAATCGATCCAAGAAGCTCGTCATCTCAATTATAAACGGATTGGTTTACTACGTGCTTATGGCATGATACGTCACATAGTTAGTTATATGCTGCGGATGATTTCTGGTGATCGCACCAAATTTGTACTTTATGCGGGACATGATTGGACTTTGCAATATCTTACTGCGGCATTTGGTATTCGAACCGATAACACTTTCATTGCTTACGCTGCTCGCTTGACCATAGAGGTTTACAGAAGCGATACGCATACCGATTATTATTTTCGTGTTGTTTATAACGGTCACGATGTTACGCAGCAAATAGATTTCTGCGAGGGCGGCAAGAGTCTGAGAGTCACGAGAGACTCTCGTGGCAATAAAGCGGATCTCTGTCCAATCGAAAATATTATTCGATTTTTACACGAAGACTATTTTGCTCCATTGAATGCTACAAATTTCAAAGATGCGTGCATGTAACAGCAAGATGAGAGCAAAATTTCGATAACCTAAAAAATACTTTACTAAATGCAATGTGAAACAATGATAAGCGTTAAAAGTTCGATCATATTTTGAGGCTCCAATGATCTTAAACATATCTGCGAATTTTTATAAATCATTTTAGCACAAAAAAAAAAGTCAAGACGTTGATTGGTGTTACGTGAGATACCATACTTTATCGAATGCTTTTTAAGCTAAATCGAGTCCGCGAGAGCGGGCTGAGAGAAGCCTATAATGATATGCCTTTTTTGGGTCATATGCTAGAATGTTTTCTGTACACTTTGTATCCAAACTGTGATAAGTAGTTAAACAAAAAAGAAAAAGAAAAAAAGAACAGACAACTAAGGTTATATTCGGTCACAATCGAATGCCTCAATATTCACTGCCCATGTTAAACCATTTAATATAATAATAATATAACAATCGGTTGAGAATTCTAAATTAATTTGGAGCAATCGGCATCATGACAACTTGGCGAAGTTAATCAAATCATTTCGGAAATTGCGATTCGTAGGTTGAACATAAAAACATAAGAAAAATTATCGCAAGGATAGACAGATGAGCAGATACGTTTAAGATGTTTCAGAATTTTGATTCTAGTTAGGCCTATTTGAGGTTGCATGTGCACACACAAATTAAAACCATCGCAAGTGGTGTGAGGTATAGGTCAGAGGCAGAGCCCATACACTGCGGGCTGTTCTTGGCCACGGACTCGAGTGAACTTTACTGTGCTGCGGCCTGATGCTGACCGTTGAAGCCACGTCCAAAAAATCGTTTCGCTTCACAATGCCGTTCGACGCCGTTCGAGAGACTGCTGAATGGCTGTATAGTGACAGCAACTATATATATATATATACTAGTAAACTCTTTCACTTGATCTCTAAAGTAACAAAATTCGAGGTTTGCTCATTTACTTAGTCTGTCTTCTTCAGTTACCATATTACAGCTACAAAATGTCGCATAGCTGACCGAATGGGTTTTTAATCAAATCTGTGGATTACTCATAAATAGTTTTGTACACTTAAAGAAAACTTAGGGAAGATTTTGATCTAATCTCCAACTGAAAAGCTATTTGGAATTTTGATGAATAATGAGGCGGAAATGGTTTTGTTTTTTAATGCTAGTTGAGTTAGACTGGTTACTATAAGATGGGATGACCACAAAGGATCTGAGAAAGAAATACGAGAAATCAATTAAACAATTTAAAGATAGCATACAGTATTATCACACACTTTCACATAATCGAACATGAAGTTCGCATATTAACAGAATCGAATATAAATTTCTTCAACTAACCGAATCGAATATAAATTTTTCCCATTAACTGAATCGAATATAAATTTTTTTTTTTTTTTATTAAAATATACAATCAAATAATAAAAATTTATGTTACTTATCCGCCTGAGTGGCCGAGTAGGCAAAGAGTTTCGACAAACAACTCAACGGTTGTGGATTCAAATCTCAATGGCGCTAGGGTTTTCGGTAAAGCCGATAGCCTTAGCTCAAACTCTAGTGGTTTAAGACTTTAGCCTTTGAATTTATTTCTATGGCTATACAAATAGTCTTTCTCTCTTGTCTGTTTTATTTATTATCGTCTCTCGATGTAAGAGACGTCAGAGTTTACTCAAGCAGACTCCTCTTTTCTCGTGCTTTCTATCTAACGATTTAGCCCAAAATGGTAACAACAAGACCTTCAAATGAGTTCCTACGCGCTATTGGTACTAAAAATTTGAATGCATGGAGTCTTTCGGCACGAAAAAGTCAGCATATATCGGAAAAACTCTTGAATAAAGATCAGTAAGCAGTGTTCGATGGCCCTACAGGTACCTGCAATTAATCACTTTAATATTTAGAAGAATATTTAAATCAGGCATCTTCTGGGTGGTGAATATGGAGAGTTTAAAAAAGTCTTACATATCAAAGTAACTGATACATATCATCTTATACATATATATTATAATGATAATTAAATGAATTAGTTATATAATAAAATGCAACAATTAAACTAAAACAGAATTTCTAACTGCGTTTTAATTGAATTTGATTGAAATTCAAATCGTATTCCTTAGCTCATCTTTACTAATGATCGGGCAACGTTCAACGCTGCGCAAAACGCTTTTTCAGTCTTATAAAGTTCCCGATTTCAGTGCAAAAGCGATGATATGATCAGTGTTTTTTCAAGAATGAAACTCACACTGTTCTCAATTTGAGCGTGCCAATCGTATGGTATTTATCGAATTTATACGAGGAACATGACGGCCGTTTAAATTCTTCAAAAATTTGTCCAGGAGTTCCGCGTTCCTTTCTTTTTAGCAAATTGTTTTTGGAAAAATCGCATAAAACATATGATTTCAATTTGGAAATACAACACTGAGAAGAAAAAAAATTTTGAACTCACATTAGTTGCTTAATATTTTTTTCTTTAATTTTATTTCCTTCGAATACGGAAGTCTTCCAAATTGATGAAACATCGATGAAATTAATGTTAATCAAAGCGACTAATGCCCAGCAAAGATAACGCAGAGCATTCCACATTCATCAGATCAGATGTTGTGAATAGCATTCCCTGGTAAAAATTTCTTTAGGTTGAACTAATTTGACCACCTTAAATGATGCTGGATGTTCAGCTTTGATGTCGATATCAGCCAAAATTTAGCAGCATAATAAGTAAAATTAAAGCAATGCTTCCTATCTTTCACGTTTGGGACCACACATCAAATTAAATCGGGAAAGTAACGTTTATTATCGGTGACATAAGTCGACTTATCCATAAGCTATGTTGTCTACGTTTAAGCGTAAGGTGACTCATATCGATGCGTTAAGCTTAAAGATAATTCCTATTTGGGCTTTACTTAATACTGAGATTGCTTCCGAAAAATGTATTGATCTCGCCAAAGTATGATGAAGAGAATTTTGATAAATTTTTAAATTCTTTTTAGGGAAGTCTTTAAGAGACTCTTTAAGGTTTTATCGGACTTTTTTAATTCGATTTCCTATTCTCACTGGGGACTCTTGCTTGGTATTTTCTACCTAACTAAATAGAGATTGAAAGTTAGCGTCGAGTGCGAAAAATAGATCATTCGAACTAAATTTCGTATGTTATGCTGCGGTGTACGCTACCTTATGCTAGCTTGGCACTTACTGCGCTGTGATTGCTTGAGACTAAACCATTGAAAATGATATATAATCTATGACGACTTCTTCTCCATGCACTTTCACGCAAGTTTTCGCGGATGCATGCAGAACATATATCTCAAGTTGGACCCTTAGCTAAATTTATCTTTTATAATACACAATCATTTTCTAAATCAATTTAAGTTTGTCTGTCCGTCTGACACTCTGCCTAGTCTTCTTTTCTTATCTGTAGACTGCAATTTTGGAGATTTCTTAATAAAATTTGACATGCCGCCGTGTTTTAGCCAAAGGACAAGCGCTATTAAGAATATTTCGGATTGGAACCTTACTTTCAATACTTTCCATGTAAAAGCTTATTTTGATAGGTCTTTGTATGAACAGCTATATCCAACGAATTGGTGTAGGTTATTTAATAGTGAGCGCCTGTCCAGTGTTTTCACTTTTCACTCTTTCACCCTGCATCCCTGTAGAGTGTTTCTACTTATTAATTTCTTTTTCAATTCTTAGGAATTTCGACAATTTTAGCATCAGAAAGACTACTGATGCGTTGATAGTTGGGTTAAAGGCTTTCTCAATTCCCTTCATGCGGCTATTGAGGATTTGACATTTCCTCTACGAAAGTGAAACGCACGCAAGCAAGGAAAATAGCAAAATGATGCAAATGATAGATTGTGTATAGACCAAGTAGAGCATTCGCTGCTGTGATGAGCGCCTATTAACATTCAGTACAATTCGTTACTTACGTTAACGAAGTACGCGAGATTGTCACCTAAAGATAGATAGATAGATAGTTTGCTTTTTTCCCTCTGCAATACAATCGCTGCACGTTATGAAGGATTGACTGTTGGTTGTCTTTTTTCCCAACGTGCACAGCAAACTCTCCTTCACAGTAAACAAAAGTGTTTAGAGTGACTTTCTTTTTTTTTTTTTTTTAATAAACAGAGCTGTGTGCCGCGATGGCAAGATGAATATAAAAAACGGAAAAAATGTAAACCAGAGAACGTTGTACACTTGTACAACATTGTAACATTCTATGTGTATCCATGTTGTTAGATATGCGTTGATTATGTTTATCAAATTCCCTTTTCATAGGTCCTTTAGAAATTTTCTTTCATTAAAAGTTTTTTTTCGGTTTTTTGCATTTAAAATGCTTTCTTTTTCTCATGGGTTCAGCTCAACAACCCAGATCCGTTCATGACGCTATGTATTCGCTTACGTTAGTGTTGTAATACATTTATCAATAATTATTTATGGGTCTTACTCAAAACCTGTGGGGTTCATTGTTCGGTGCACTCGCACTGCATGTTTACGTTACATGAGCATAAGGAGCTCAGATTTTTTAGCTTGCAACTTTTGTACGGAAATATCGTTTGGTTTTTATATTTTTCGTGTACTCTTAATCAGTAAAAAGAAGAAAAACATGAATTGAAATCATCCGTCTATATATGAACCTCTATATATATACATACGTAAATACGTACGTACATATATATACATATATACATGTATATACATACATATAAATTCTGCATCAAGTTCACCTTGTACTCATTTGCAATAATGCAAGTAGCTGTATATACGTATGTCCATGCAAAAGAGAAAAAATAATAACAATAAAAAAAAAATAATAATACAACAAAAAAACCAACCAAAAGAAAACAACGACTTTTACCGGCTTACGATATTTTTGCGCACATATTCGAAAACGCGTCTAAATTTAATGCACTGAAAGAATACAAAATAAAATAAATTCTGAATGTTGTTGTTATTGTATTTTGACTTTAGCTCGGGCTCGCCTAACATTAATACATTTATTATTCTATTTTTGTATTCTACTTTTGTTTATATTATTCTTAATTTTATTGCATTATTAGTAAACTCTCTTAAGCAAAGGAGTGCCCGAAAGCTGCTCTGCAACTTTGGCAGTGAAACCCAATGAATATTAAATGAAGTAAACAAAAAAGTGTATAAAATGCGTTATCTCATACGTAACATTCAAAAT